TGTATATATGTATGTATATATGTATGTATATATGTATGTATATATGTATGTATATATGTATGTATATATGTATGTATATATGTATGTATATGTATATGTATATATGGGTGTATATATGTATGTATATATGTATATGTATATATATATATATGTATATACATATATATATATATACACATACATACATACATACGCATGCGCACGCGCACGCGCACACGCATACACACATACACACATACACACACACATACACACATACATACACACACAATACACACATACATACACACACAATACACACACACATACATACAGAATACACACATACACACATACAGAATACACACATACATACATACATACAGAATACACACATACATACATACAGAATACACGAATACATACATACAGAATACACGAATACATACATACAGAATACACGAATACATACATACATACACGATACCTCTTATGAGGTTGGATCTGTTAATGTCTGTCCTAAAAGTGTTAAAGATTATATATTTAAGCTTGCTTTGGGTAAATCTGCCTGGTATGATGGTATCTATCTAGTCAGCATCTGCGATATGCCAGTGATAATCTGTCTGTCCTACTTAGTATTTGCTTTACTTTGTTTAATATGGGGTACTGTCCCTTGTGGCTTGACTTGAACTATTCTTGTCTCTGTTGTAAAAAGTAACTCAAGGGATGTCACAAGCAGGGATAATTATAGACCTGTATCTCTGGCCTGTGTGGTCGCCAAAGTATTCGAATATATTCTTAGTGATTTGGCTGGGGATACACTAAATTCTGACAATAGGCAATTTGCTTTCACATCAGACCATGGTACGGAAACTTGTATCTTTGTTCTTAAGCAGGTTATTAATTACTACTACAGAAATGGTAGCCCAGTCTATGTTTGTTACCTTGATGCATCGAAAGGTTTGTTCGTGTTAACCACTAGACTCTCTTTAGAAAGATTATTTCAAATGGTTTCCCGGCTTCAGTTGTGAATGTCTTAAAAGCTTGGTGTAATACCCCCTCAAAGATTTGTTGTATAATATGTTTATTAATGATCTTATACACAAGTTAGGTAGCATTAAAGAAGGATGCGAAATGGCTTGAAACTTAAACAATCTGGCGTATGCTGACGATATGGTGTTAATGGCACCTTCGTTACCAGAACTGCAGGGATTAATTAATGAATGTGAATGCTTTGCCGTAAACAATAATGTAATTTATGATTCTAAGAAATCATCTTGTATCGTAATTCGCCCAAAGTCGCGTAAAATGAAATACAATTCATTTGCTACTTTAAATGGTCAACGTTTAGAATGCATTGATTAAGTTACGTATCTTGGTCATGTCATCTCTTCCGATATGTGTGATGAGTATGATATAAAATGTGTGTAGATCTGTCTTAGAGCCAACTCTAATACAGATACTCTGTGTTCTTTTGAAGTCAAGTGTCACTTGTTTAGAACATATTGTGTTAATTTTTGTTGTGCAACATTATGGTGTAACTATAATCTGAGTACCTTGCGATCTCTTAAGTTTGCTACAATAATGCCTCAGAATGCTCTTCCAAAAGCCTACATATTTCAGTGCCTCCACTATGGCTATAGAAAGTATAGGATTCTCTCTTTGTATGAATTTCTTAGGAAATCTATATATGGATTTATGCTATAATTAATGCGAGTAAAACAATGTAGTTTTCACTGTTGTTGAAAAAATACTACGGGAATCTAACATATACTTTAAATAGAATCGTATTTCGAGATTCTTTTGCTGATTTATTTTCTCTTGTTTATGAATTGATTCCGAAATAAAAAATTACTTAAATTTGTCTTTATTATTACACGTAGGGGTTACCTTTAAAGAAGACATATTCAAAATGTAGTTTAGTTGGAAGCAGTGGAATATTATCAGGAAGTCATTGTGGTAAACAGATCGATGGTTCAGAATTTGTAATAAGGTAGGCCTTTAACTTTCACTCACCCTCATTAGAGGAGAAATTAAAAGCCTATTACTTTCTGTAATAAAACTAAAATCACCTAATGAATAATAACAAGTTTTTTATTGCTACTTATTTTAATCCATACAAGCACATCACTTAACATACTGAAACAGAGAAATGTGGAATGTGTATAAAGTGCGGCTTTGTTCTTGAATACACAATTTCTATATTTCCATTATGGTTAATTGTTGTCTCTTATACACATCT